AAGAACAAAATAAAGACGATGAAAAAGCTACTTGATTCAAAGGATGCAGAGATAAGGAGACTTGAAGAAATAGTTGAAGAAAAAGAAAGGGAGATAGAGATGTTACAAACAAGAGACTCAAGAACTCCAGATCTTGACCTGCCTGTCCTACGCAGAAGAATTGCTGAACTGGAAGATCAACTAAAGGGAAAGAATAGCGAGAATGAAATACTGAAAAAAGGGAAAATGAAAAGGATGCTGAGATTAAAAAATTGAAAAGAGAGTTACAAATGCGGCAACAAAAAGCTAGAGATTGGGGAACACTATTGTCATTTTAAGGTGTCTTCATTTCATGGATTTTTTAAAAAATGGTGATTAAACTTATTTTATTTTAATTTTTTTTCAAGTGCAAAAAGGCACAGATTTCGTGGAATGACCCAAGAAATGGTTATTGTTAGGTTTAAAGGTAGGAGTGGGATTAGCTACTCAAAATATATTTTTAATGCTATAAATTTACTAAAATGGTCATTTCTTTGCATATTTCGGTCTATTACGTTTCATATCTTTTTATATTTGCTAAAAAAATGGGTAAGTTTAGGTTTGGAGGTGGGTTAAGGGGTCAAAAAATCTAAATCACTTATCGATAAAATACAAATATCTTAATGATATAAAAGATTCATAAATATTTTACGTTTTGATAAATTCTTTTGTCTTTTCACGTGTTGACTATTGTAATGGTCTTCTTGCTGTAGTATCTAAATCCTCCATTTACAAACGTCAATACTTACAAAATTCGGCTGCAAGAATTCTGTCTGGGGCTCATATTACCCCAGTTTTGGAGTCTTTGCACTGGCTCCCTGTCAGGTACCGTATTGATTTTAAAATCCTTGTATATATATATATATGTTAATGTTTAGATTTTTATTTATGTATATGTATATGTTAATATTAATATATAACAAAAGTTTTTTTTCTTTTTCTCAGGCTCATTCTGTCTCTTTCCAGATGTGATGCATGAGAATTTTGTGATTAATGTCTTTTTATTTGCAGTTTTCAATGCAGTACCATTTTTGAAAGTTTTCTTCACCACATCAAGACATAATTTTATGGAGAAGACTTATTAAATGTATTCAGTGTTTTTTTTTTTTTTGCAGGGCAAGAAGGTTTGGACCCCAGTGTGGTAACCAAGTCCATTCTAGAGGGAGTAAAGTATAGTATACAAGGAGTGGATCTTCAACATCTCAAAGCTATTCACATCATTCTGCGGAAGATTAAAGGGGCCATATGATGTGATTTCAATTTTTCCTTTCTCTTTGGAGTGTTACAAGCTCTTGGTGCATAAAGTTTGGTCTTCCAAAAGAGGACGATATCCGCTTTGTCATGCCTGGAGTTGATCCGTGCTAGTCGCTGAAGAAATACGGTAATTATGTCCCCACTGGATGCAACAAATGCCTCGTTTATAATGAGTTTTAATGATTTTGTCTCGTCACTCCGGCTGGACACGGCATCACAGTATGGTAAGCGGCGTAACATTTCCGTCACAAGCTTGAGGTATTCTTTTACTTTTAAAGAACACTGAGTCACTGTGCTGAACAGCTTAGTGGAGTTCTCCACTTACTTTTTCAATCTTCTCTAGATCAAGGGTCGGTACCTGATTTGTGGAAAAGCTCAATTATTGTACCTATACCTAAAAAAGCAAAGTCTAAATCATTGAATGATTACCGTCCTATTGCCTTGACTTCCTTGGTCATGAAGACTTTTGAAAAAGAGATAAAAAAGTATGTGATGACAGTTATTGGACCACTCTTAGATCCGTTGCAGTTTGCATATCGCGTTGGAAGAGGCGTAGAGGATGCAAAACTGTTTTTGTTGAATGCTCTCAGTCGACATCTGGAAAATAGTGGAACCTTTGCGCGGCTGTTGTTTGTGGACTTTTCGTCTGCATTTAATTTTTTGCAACCTATTATTTTAGGGAAAGTCTGAATTAATTGCCCCAAGGGGATTAATAAAGCTCTAAACTAAACTATTCGGCCAATCACAAAGCACTGGATAGCTGGCCAATCACAGCATACCTCGCTTTTCAGAACGATGAGCTTTGTAAAAATCGACGCGTTTCAGAAAGGCAGGGCATAGAGGAGAAACAATAATGTACAGTATGTGGAAAATATTGTGGTTTTTTAACCTTAAACACATTTCATTACACCAAATACACAAAATAATATTTTTTTAGCAACATCATATGACCCCTTTAATGTTTTCCTGGTGTTCAAAGCAATGGCACAGAAAATCTGTGTTAACACACAGTTAACAGGTGAAGAAAAGTCTGTGACATGCAGAGACAAGACTCCTGAAGAGGCTTCAAGGCTACAGTTCTGAGAGATATGCAGCCTTACTAGGATGCATCTTTTCGATTGAGAAGCACCCACTTACTGTTAGTTTTGCACTTTCACCTTTTTTTTAGCTCCTGCACCACTTGTACCTACCAGTGCAACCACCAGATGGCACAGTGTAACCAGTAGTGGACACATGGGTTCAGCTATCATTGGTCACACCAATAATGATGTTTCTGATGTGTGCAGAAAACTTCAGCAGGCATATAAGATATGACAGCCAGTGCTCCACACACACTTTCTTTCCTGATGAGGTTGAACACCTCACTCAATTCACTGCACCTGCAGGTTGAACCAAGCAGTTCTGAAGAATAGGTAGTAAAATGACTGAAGGAGTGAATGAGGTGGTTAGACTGGCTCAAGATGCACTTTGTAGACAGGTGAAAAAATGCATGTGTGTGTGTGTGTGTGTGTGTGTGTGTGTGTGTGTGTAATGAAATGTATTGCATAAATGTGCAGTTTAAGCAAAGTCTAATAGACATATTTTCTACTCTCAAACTCTAAAGAGAGGGAGAACAGGCATTCCTCTTCACTCAAGTCATGTGTTGCATTCTGGGACCATGGGGCATTTGGTAGAAGTAAAAGAAGTCAATCATAAACTTGAGACAGTAGATGTGAAAGATGGACTGATCATGAGAAGGATGGAGGCCACAGAATGTGATTCAGGACCAGTGACCCGTCGATTGGAGAACCTTTCAGAAAAGTCACTTTAGTGCAACCTAGACCCGTAGTTTTAGACCTGGAAGTTTATCACCCTGGTTTCCACAAAAAAGAAAGAAAGAAAAAAGGCTTTTGGATTATTGCAGAAACTAATCTCTGTGACCAACAAAAGTTTATGATTTGAACATGTTTTGTTTGTCATGATCATCTTCACAAAAGTAGGCTATAAAAGAACTATACAACTGTCACAAACTTAAATGTCACCACCATTAAGCTTCTGACAACTTTCAGTCTTTATTTACAAAAACATTTGCAAGAGGGATCATGATGATTTGTTTAGACTTAAACTATACGTATATTTGTTTAATTTAAGTACAGCCTGTTAGTCGCAGTGGTTAGTCTACAACAACAGACTGTAGGCAATTTTTAGGTTTAAGTTTTTAGAGTTTATAGTCTAGTTTTTATTTTATGAGGCAATATGAAGAACAACACATGTGAATTTGAAGTCCATATTGGCCATTTGTGTGCAAATGCTTTACAACAGATTGAGCGCATCCAGAACATGAAACTTTGGCGTTATTTGAGGGATGTAAAAAAGAGCTGGAGAACAGAAATGTTCCCAATGTGGGAGCTGGAGAGAAGATCCTTTATCGTGGCACTTCCTGCACATCAATTTTTCAATTTTTGGGTGAATATTACCTTGATTTCTTTGGATTTCTTTTATTAAATAATTAATAATTGAAATAATTTAGATAACACATAACATTTCATCAGTCTTTCACTCTAACGCTGATTTGGGGGAAATATTTTGTTACCTTATGAATAATTAACTAGTGGCAGGTAAATGAACGTTCTAATGGCCAATATAATTCAGAGTTTTACATAACTTAATATTGCCTAGTTAATTGGCCAATTCATCTGTCTATTGCTTGCACAAATCACCAAAGTAAAAAACAAGAAAGATTTGATTAGTGATTATTTGATTTGTGAAGATGATTTGTAAGGAGAGCAATCACATTTATTTCTAAAACCAAAATAAAACTGAGCACCTCAAAAATGCAAAAACAATAACAACAAAAAAACTATGTCCTTCGAAAAGGTATAAATAAAATATTAAGTAAAATTAAAAAGCCGAAGCCTTCTTGCACTGGATGTGCTGGTTTGGGCCTCATTGCCAGCTGCAGTCATGTCCTCATCTCATATATAAAACACCTGGGACTCACAACTACTTGCTAAGGAACTTGCATTCACATAAAGTAGCCTTGTTGACTAGTTTGGGTGAGTAAGGGCAAAACACACAAGATATAGTACATTCAGTGCCCTGTAGTTGGCGATATCACTTCTTTTGTAGCAGAAATAAACTGCTACAGAAAAAAGAAGTGCCTTGCAAAATATAATGTGTAACTGCAACACTCTTTACAAATGTAGTGAAGTAGAGAGTAAAAGTTGCTAATATCTTCAATACTCAGTAAAACTACAAAGTATCCAAAAAGATACTCAAGTACAGTAACTAATTACATTTACTCAAATACTTTACACCTCTCATGTGCACTTCTCCAGGAAGAGCGAGCGCGCACACACATCGAGCAGAGCAAGAGCACACCCAGCATCTGATCAAACTAAAGACTCTTCGGAGATATGAAGGATTCAATACTTCTCTCTAGGTACTCAAGATTAACATGAGATTAGCAGAAACTTATGTTTTGTCCCATTTAAACATTACCCAAGTCACTGTCTCCTTCACTTGCAACTTCATACTGTAATCTTCAGTTACCAAGTATCTCACCAAGTATGACACTCATGACTTGAGCAAAAGATGGCATAGTTGAGAATTGCCTCTCAGATTTTGTACTGCTTTCTACTGTTTTCATATAATTTTAAATAATTCTATGTTTTGTGCCACTTAAATAGTCTCACTGCATCAAGAGGAAGCTGGAGGAGTGGCCATGGAAAGCAAAAGTGAAAGCATCTGAGTACCTATATATTTATGTCGAAGCTCAACAAAACAACAGATTAAAGATGGAGAACTACGAGTACGCTGTGTTTTTTGAGGCAGAGAATCTCTCTGATGCAGAACTAAGACAAATGGAAAAGTATTTTAAAATCAAGAGAAGGTCTGGAGGGGGAGAGTGTAAGATCAACAAAGTGGGTGACACAACTTACATGACAACTTTTATGGAGAAAGAAGGTAAGGATGTTTTATTTATTTATTTTGCACCGTTATAATCAATGCCACTTTTTATCTTAATTAAGCTTTTCATTCAGCAAAACAAATGTAATATTTGATTTATAATGACAACACTTTATACTCATCAATATGTATTTGTATTCAAAGCCCAGGAAAGAGTACTAGAACGAAAGGATCACGTCATTAAAATAGAAGGACAAGAGGAGATCCATGTTTTATTGAGGTGTGAAAATGTTGCTGAAAGCAGCAAACAATCTAAAGAATCTCCAAATCAGGTAAGTGGCACAAAACAAACAGCTATTTTGCTTCTATTTATATATGCGCTGTATCTTGTTTCCTGCTTGTACAAGATGGTCGAACCAGTTTTTCCCGAAGCAAAAAGAGAAATGCTCTGCGTAGTTACCTTGAATACAGTAGTTCTCTGAAATTACCTGCTAGGGCTTGACAATAAGGAAGGTCTGGGAAAAGGCTGGGCAATAAACTATATCATATCAAGATTGCAATACAATTGGTCAATTGGAATAATAACTGGAATAATATGAAGGCATGCAACAAGTCAATAAATATATTATCCTAATTAAAGGACAAAGGTGGGTGCTGGTGTGTAGAAACGCATAACTTTATTTCTTGTTACGCATCCGTATACATATATAAATACTAATAATTTCACTCCAAGCAAGACAGATTAAAAGGACATAAAGAAATGCACACAGGCAAGGCAAATTGTAAACCCTATAAATACAAAAAAAAAAAACAATGCACACAATACTCCCCTTTACACAAGCAAGTAATCATACAATAAATTCATCAATCACCTTAACGTGATGCACTGCAATCAGAACAGTTCTGTGAGAATCTTTAAGGGAATTATTGCACGTTGCACACAATACTATTGCATTAAAAGGGACCCTGGAGTATAAATATAGTTGTTAACGTCAATGAAC